CATAGGGGACATTTACACAGTTACAACAAAGAGACAATTCTGATCAAATATAAAACAGTGTTTAGTTAAAGGTAGGGTAGGTAATTCAATTCAGAAACACTTTTTGTTATATTCCATGGAATGCTCTTAACATCCCGATAGCAATGAATAGGCCTACATTAAATGCTTTGACAATAAATACATTACAAAATGTCATCTGTGGAAGCCGTGGCGCTGTAAAAAGCACGACCAATCATCTGAGCCGGCCCGGGGTCAAATAACTGGATGGCCTACCTGCCTGTCAGCCTTCCATCTCGTGCACAAACTTCTCTCCTGCCCTCATTGGTCATGTGCGCGTTCGTGTGTGTTGGAGGAGGGGCTCTGTAAGGAAGTCTGAAGGAAGGGGCAGATTTCTTTCGGCTGCGTACTTTCAAATTCTAGCGCACTCGAGCTGGTTTCTCCATTCTTACCTACTCTACCTTTAAGTGGCAAGCAATCATTAATACACATTTAAAATCAATGTAGCTGCAGGGTGATGGTGTAACGTGTAAGTATGTTTTGCACAGTGTTATATTGCAATATTGTTTAAAAAAACAACAACAACTAGGCTATGTATTATTTATACATTTCACACCTTTCTTTCAACTGTATTTGTTATCCTCATTTCATTTCCTTACATGTTTTATGTTTTGTACAATTTATGATCGTTTTATATTATGTTTATAAAAAATGTATTTACTGCAACTTTTATTAAATGAAACCTGGAACATATGAAATCTATAACACATCTTTATAAAAATGTATTGACTTTTCAAAATGTGGTTGAGGGAGAAAGTAGTAGGATAACACTCACCTCTCTTTACTCTTTAGAAGCCACAGTGTCGGATGTCCAGAAGAAGATCAGAGCAGCGTTTGAAGCGTTTGATTATGAGTCCAACAACACGGTGGATGTCAGGTGAGCTCCGGCAGTACAGAGAGAGGTGGGGGTGGGGGGGATCCCATTGTTCTCCTGGGCTGATACACCAGACTTTTGTAATGTAAAAACACACTTCTCTGAACCCTTGAGGTCATAACTTTAAACACAATTAAAACATGTCATCTTATTATACTTCTAATCAAATAAACACTTACTAATGAGGTGAGGCGTATACTCAGTTAATAGTGTGGTCTCTAACATGATGTTTGTTTTCCAGAGAGATTGGCACCATCATATATTCCCTGGGTTGCTTTCCCTCTCAAGCAGACCTACACGACTTAATAGCTGAGGTCAGAACATCGTTTTTTCAATATTTTGTCTATAATAGTTGTGGTGACTTGCATGTATAGATTGCTTGAAATTGCAACTACTTACTAAAATATGATATCAGTTATGTTAGAAATTGCTCAGCTTGTTGTTAAAAGTTCCAAACTCACTAGCTGTGTCCTGTTCAACCAGGTTGAAGAGGACCAAACAGGATACATCCACTTGGACAGTTTCCTCCCAGTCATGAGTAAAGTGCTGCTGGAGCACAAGTAAGACAGTTATTTGATCTCCAATACACCTTCTTGACTGATGCCAGTACTGATGTTTGGTATCTAATGAGGTATCTAATGAGGTAGCTACTGAAGGATTTCACTGAATCCATGTGTAGTAAAAAGGTCTTCCACTGTAACCTGTTGTTGATCATTAAACATTCAGGTGTTTGTTTTGCCACCCAAGAAGACACACGTCAGATCTCTTTCAATAATGTATGCCACCTTCTTTAAAGTTTTGCTTTTTTATGCGGGTAAATGTACGTGTGTGTGTGTGTGTGTGTGTGTGTGTGTGTGTGTGTGTGTGTGTGTGTGTGTGTGTGTGTGTGTGTTAGGTTCCCACCCATCCCTGAGGACCTCCTGCTCCAGGCCTTTGAGGTGAGATCAGCTGTTTACGGCTCCTACACACGGCGGCGTGCGTTGTCGCTTGCCGGCGGGGAGGGGCTGAAACTCGACCAACAACCAAGGCGTCAAAAGTAGAACATTGCTCTGCTTTTGCAGCGAGCACCGCGAGAAGCTACGCTTTGCTCCCACAATGCAGTTCGGTGAATGGTGACGTCACCCCATTCAACGTGAATGGGCAGAAGCGTTGAAGCGGCAACGCACGCCGCCGTGTGTAGGCTCCTCATATTCTCCAGTGTTGTAGTTCCCGCGTCTGAACAGTATATAAATAAAGTTGGACCCTTCGAGTCTCTGCAGATATCATACTGTCAGCAGAGTGACACTAACATCAGAGTAACTGATATTTGTTAAAGCAGAAAATCAATAACTCCATATTCCAGGTTCTGGACAAAGAGAAGAAAGGATACCTAGAGCCTGAGGAGCTGACAAAGTACATGACACAGGAAGGTAAAAGCAGAAGCCTTCAGGTTTTACTTTGTGACTTGTTGGGGCAGATCATCTCATAGATATTTTTTGTGTGTCTTACATTCCCCCTACTATTTTTTCAAAACATCTTATAATGTACAAACAGTTTTGAAACCATGGCTGTGTTGTTTTTGTGTAAACCAGGTGAGCTCTTCACCCAGGAGGAGATGGATGAGATGCTGACAGCACTGGCTGACCATGAGAAGAACGTTGTCTACTACAAAGACCTAATCAACCAGCTGACCATTGACCCGGACATGTAGACAATGTCACAGTGTGTCTACAAAAATGCTGGAAAATATTAGAAACACACGTCTGTGTGTTTGTTGACTGTATTAATGCAAGTTATTATTATGTTGTGCTAGTAGTTCTGATATGGTATAATATAATAAATGTAAATATCTAAATCCTAACTATGTGTTTCCAGAATCGTTGAATTTCCAGAATCGTTTACAATTACAATTACAATTTGGTATAAATTGCGCATTTTGGGGGAAAAATAAATCAATGCATGTAAGCTTGAAGTTTATATTCATCATTACTTTTTGAAGTCTTGTTGTTTCTTAGTAATAACATAACCTATATATTAATACCTAAAGTGTTGTTTTGTTTGTTTAACACATTTAAGCATTAAACTATAGTCCAAGTGAAGTTAGTAAAAATGTATATATTTTCATTTTGATTGAAATATATGCGCACCCTTTTTTCACTTAAAAACAGTATAAGTTTCTGATAAACATATTTCATACTTCAGCTTGGAAGCTGTTTTGGTTAAGTAAAAGTAAGGAAATAGTGTTAGCTCAACATGATGTAAATAAAGCTTTAAAAGTAAAGCTACTCATCAGGCATTAACTTGAAACTAGAATGTAATCTTATGACCGTGTTACTCGTCACGGTAGATCTATTTTTAACAATAGTTCATACTGTTTGGTAAATCAGATTAATATATGATGCAAGTTGCATCATGCAACTTTGAGCATGTTCTCATAGTGTGTGGGAATAGAAAGTAAAAGTCTAACTTCAGTCCTTGATGCATATAATTCCACTATTGCTTAACAGGCTGGATTTCTGTACATTTTCCAAGTTTTTCATCACCTTACATTTAGGTATTAAAATGAATAGGGGACTCATGTTAGATCTCTTTTTTATATTATTTTCACACATATTACTTTAGGTTTGGGCTAAATATGAGCATGTTGTTTACCTTGTGTCCATTACATCATTGAGGAATGTATTCTGGTTAATGTTTGGCAGAGGGACATAAAAAACAAGGAAGGGCCTGGGGTTGTTTTATTGTGGAGCCAGTCTGCCAAGCAGTTTACACGGTGTGACGGAGATAAGAAGTGCTGCAGCTAGACGTTTCAAATGTTCTCTCTCTGTTTATCTTTCCCAAGAGCTCTTTCTTTAGTATCAGCTCCATATGCACATTAGATTAATACAAAACTGGACGTGGTAGATTCAAAAGAGACTTTGTCATACGCTGCTATCAAGAGATTGCAACCGAAGGAAAGTGTTACAAAGATATGACTGCCCTTACTAGAAGTTTGTAATACATTTAGCAATAAACTGAACATTTTATCCCTTCTTTCTCTGTAGATCTGTTTTATTCACTATAACATGTACCTGCCGTGTTGTAGGCAGTTATCTATGACAGGATTCACACATTTATAGGCCCATACTAATCGTCGTTTTAGATTAGGAAGATAAATAAATATGAGCTGACTGAGCCTTGTTGCTCAATACTTGTAATCTCACAAAAATGGAAGATGGAAAATGAGAAAAATGCTGATAAGGCATTTCAAGTCTATTTATAGACCTGGAGACCTTTAAGCTTTTCCAGGGTGATTTCCTCCGTATCTGGTAACCTTTGCTCGGATGGGATGCCACACTAAAGGTCTCACACCCTTAACTGAGTCGACTCAGTGTCCCACAGATCGCTGTGCTACTGATGTGGACTTTGTCATTTTCCTTTATAAGGAAGACGTTGAGGGAGGACTGAGCAGGATTAAAATATGAGTTCTTTTCACACTAAACAGTAAATCTTTTAACAACATTCATCTAGCAGACATCAAAGGTAAGAGCTTTTGAACATGAATCTCCACAATACACTCAATATTTCTTCGCTGTTTGTTTAAACAATCTGTAGTAAAGGCTTGCTGTGTGTGCGCATTTCATTTAACACAATTCAAACAACATCTACAGAATAATCTTCCACATACTCCTCAAAGTAATCAGAAATCTGAGAACAGAACAACACTTTTCAGATTACTCCGAAATTAGCCTAACGATTCGTACTGAAGTACTGTTTTCATCTACATTTTTGTCATAAGGTTGCCAATCTCTTTGTGTTGCCAGGTGACTATGACGAGTTTATGATTTCAAGACCCATTCATTAATTTTCCATTCACCGATAACAACCAGGTGTTGTTTGAGCAAAGGCTCACTTAGCTGAGTACATTTGTTAACTCAATGTTCTCAAAGCTACAACCAGCTTTAATGAACACTAATGGAATACAAACTCCCTTAATCCAATATTTATTTCAGAGGCAAGTTTCTGACGCAGCCCCTAACACTGACATAATGTACGGTGTGTGTTGTTAATGTCATCTATGATAAGGCAGGTGTGTGTGAGAGTGGACAAGATGTTCAGGAGCAACAGTCCCTTTGACAACGACACCAGCAGCTACGCTGGATCCATCCAATCCAAGTATGCATTTCACAATCTTTATGTTTTTGATTGATTGTTTTATTTCATTTATTCATCAGCAGATGATTGATATTGTATTTTCTTCTATTTTCTGTGACAGTGGTTTCTCCAACACGGATGATGTGTCATCGCAGGCGTCAAATGTGTCGAAGCTCAGTGCCATGTCAGTTTACTGTAAGTTAAAACTCGACATGAAGAGTGGTTACACCTGTTCAGTTAAACTTCATAAATAATAAGAGCTCTGGTTTATGATCATCAGTGCAAAGGAAGGAGTATGCAGAGTCAGTAAACAAGATGATGGACAAATTACGGTACAGAGTGGAGGTAACCTTCGAAATAATCTCCAAACAAATATGATCCTCTCTGAATCATACCTTGTTTGATGTTGTGTTTGAATCCCTCCATGCTGCAGCACTTGTTCACCTGTGACCTGGATGGGAAGGAGCTGAGAGGCGTGGGGGACTGTGTGGAGCGGCTGAAGCTTCTGGACGGTATGGGCCGAGTTTGGGGTCAGAACATGAGGCTGGAGGTGCGAGGAGCCAACCTGCTGCTCAGAGACAGCGAAACCAAGGTCAGCAGCGTGTGATGCCCACAGAAACACACATCAGCTGGGAGTAGTCTCCTCCAGGATGAGGAGGACCCCACCCAGGGTGTAAAGGTTCACTGGGTGATTAGACCAGCATAGCAAACAGATGTGAATCATATGTTACAGCCTTCACAGTTACCGGATCTTAGTTCAACTGAACACTATTCAAGTCAATCACACACCCTTTTCACAAATGTAGAGGTTTTTAGTGAACAAAGGAGGAAAATCCTGTTTGTTCAAAGATTACTAATGTACCTGCCTCAGTAGTGTACATGCTGTCTGTAAGTTCAGCTTTCTTCAAACTACAAATCTGTTTGAACATCTACGCATACGACATACACCTCTATAATTAAGACTGTCTTTCTGCAAATGTCCCAAATTGCACGAAGGAGAATTAAAGTTGTTGTAGAGCTTTGTCGCAGCCCAGAATCTCACTAATAAACTGTATTATCTGGAGTTCTTTCTTAATTGAGAGTGTTTTGATACAAGAAACTTATTTTTAAATACTTGAAGATGATGGACAAAAGCAGCTGGGTTTTGCCTTAATTTATGCATGTGGTCCATGACGTGGTTCATGTGAATAACAACCTGTTTTCTCAGGAGGAGCTGGAGTCCATGTCCTTATGTGACATCCTGGAGCTGAAGGCGGTGCTGGACGCCGGCGTGTTTAACTCCCTGCTCACAGTGTCTTTCCGGCCCGAGGGGAAACACACCACCACTGTCTTCATGTTTCAGTGTGAGGATGTCAGGGTGAGCACAAAACCCTAAAAATGGCTGTTATTTCAACTGCTATGAACTGAAACAAAATAAGTGGGTACATTTTTTCCTGCTGCTTACAGGCTGACTATGTCCAAAGGGATCTCTCAGCAGCATTGTCACGCAGGAAACATGATTTAGGCATCAGGTAAGAGCTTGAAGTCAGAGAAGACATACCTGAAACTACTGTATGTGTGTATATTGATTGATGACCTCTAACATTCTTTAAAGCAGCAATGCAGGACCAATAGCAAGACATCAGGGAATGGAAAACCTTAGTGACAGCGAAGATTTCTCTGAACCAAAAGAGCAGAAGCCCCCCCGATGGACGGCTCCTGACTATGGTGAGTCTGTGAGATACATAAGGGTTTGATATTGCTTATGAGGTCAAAACCAATACCAACCGTCTGTCTCTTTGTACTTATAGAGGAGGATGACGTACCTGAGCCTCAACCAGTTGTGTATCAGGAGGAAGAGGAGGAGGAGGAGGAAGAAGAGGAGGACCCACCTCCCAGAGAGAGGGCACCGTCACCGTATCCCTCCACCACCAAAGAAGAACCTCTGTCGAGCCAACGTCCATACACAGACCTGGACAGGAATGTAGTAAGTGTATATTTGATCATTATTATGAATGCCTCATTTTGTTTTTTAATACATTATTCTACATGTTAATTATATTCAAGAGCAGAAGAATGTGAAAATGACTTTCTTTATCCATCTTCTTTACAGGACATCTTGAATCATATTTTAGATGACATAGCAATCTTCATGGGAAAAGTATCTGCAGTAGTAGCGAAAAATGCAAAGAAAAAGAAGAAAAAGAAAAAAGGAAAAGGTAAATGAATGAGGTGAAGAAAGGCAGACATGTAGACTGTTTCTAAATGATAGCACTCAGTCAATACTGGAATATTCTAAATGAGTTTTTCTTTTCTTTTTTACTTTTTTTCTCTTAACTTTTTTTGTTGTTGTTCATACATAACATCAATAGAACATACATGGAGATGCTTACATAACTGCAGCTGTTGTACACCAGGATTAATCATTCATGCCCTCCTTGGGCACCAAAAGGACATACAGTTTCTTAATATTATCAATTTCTATATTGTTATTGTGCAAACATTATTAACATATTACAGACTCTAAATGAGTTTTTATACAACATATCATCAGTTATGAATACACTGCGACATGTGTTATGAAACTTTTGAGTCATACTGTATTATGACATTTATATGAATTCTGTGTTGCTATGACTTCTTTACTTATGACATCATCTACAGCACAATTTTGGATGACTTCTGAAAACTTGTGAGTCATCGTGTTTCTATTTGTTTTCTTTAGCCCTAGACGGTATGCCACCTGCAGCAGAGTTTGAAGAGTGTTTCCATAAGATCAAATGTGGTTTCAACCTGGTGGTATGTGTCCTTAATCACATTCATATTATATAATCATGTTCAGTATTGCTACTGTTCATTCTGTAGAGTACAGTTTGTGTAACAGTGAAATATTTCTCTTGACAGGGGGAGCTCAATGGAAGGATTAACAATCCCAGCGCTCCTGAATTTGTTCACTCCTTATTTTCCATATTAACATTCGTAAGTGACTTCATCTCGTAATTCCAATACTCCCTTATAATTAAGTTAATACGAAATAACGAAAATAATGGTGCCCTATTACAACGTTATATTTATAAGCCAAATTTGGAGATAACCAATTTCAGTTATATACACAATTATCAGAAGTATGTACAAAATAAATGATACGAAAATAAAGGTAAATAGATGGGAAATGTATAAATAAGAATAAATACACAGATAATAATAAATACAGTGAATACAGAATTGCGCTTCAGCACAGCACACGACAACAACTAGGCAGTATGGGACAGCGTGGGGTTCATTGTCAGCAGTCTGACCATCATGATCGCCCTCTGTGGCACCTGTCTAATACAAAACTAATGCCTTCTTAATTATTTGTTTCCTCACCAGCTGGTATCTCACTGCCCTGAAGATCTGATGAAGACCATCGTGGCGCCGCTGCTGACGCCTCAGTGTATCCGTCTGCTGAGTGAGGAGGCGTCCACAGAGGAGGACCAGCTGTGGCAGTCTCTGGGAGACGCCTGGAACATCCCCAGGTGAGACAACGGACAGTGTGGGACCTGATGAACTGTAGCTTTCTCTTTTCATTTGCATGAGACCAAAACATTAGCCCCATCTCAGAAAAGTAACTTAATACATTTCAAAGATCAGTTTTGAAGGATTTTTACTTTAAGTTAGTGTCTACACTTACGGACACAAAGTAGTTCAAAAGGGCTACAACAGTACAATTCAGATTTTACTACATAAATATATATTTACTTTGGATACTGTTAGTTTTCCTGCCTTATAAAACTTAAGTACATTTACCTAATTAGGCAGAATGTATCTTGTAATTAGCTTTATCTTTGATGTATTGATATTTTTATTTAAGTATAGTATTTGAGTATTTCCTCCATCACTTCAGTTTGGTTTACTAAAATATGTCAGACTGATAAGTGTCAAGATAACAATCGGTCATGATTTTGACAATATGATCAGCACCCAATGGCCAGAAGACGACGAGGACATCCCAACATACACTCTGGAGTTCTCTGACGGCTGGCAGGCCCCTGAGGTGACTGCAGCACCTGAACCCAGTGAACCAATGAGAAGAGAGGAGCATCAACAACCTGCACCCTACCAGGTAGGCTACTCCTCCAGATCAGACATTCAGTTCAACATCGGCACAGAGAGACAGGTGGTTTGGGAGAGAAAAAGGGAGGAAATATTCAAACATAACACGACCATGTTTTATTTTTTCGTGCAGGCTCCAGCCAAGAGTATAACACCAGCTCATCGCCCCAGAAAATCATCACGGTACAACAAACCCATAAAGAATAAATAAAAATCCAGGTGATTGTTCGAAGTTTAACATTTTAGATGCCCTTTGTGTATTTCAGCTTTGTTCAGTCGCCACCGCGTGACATGTATGTTACGTATGACTTCATCTCAAGAAACCAAAGAGAGCTCACCGTGAGAAAAGGAGAAGTAGTTCAGGTGAGTGAACCGACTCCTAATGTTTGAGTGGAATTGGTTACAAAAGGGTTCAAACAAAAGATAACAGAGAATGAACACAACTCATTAAGACACTGGCTCTGATTTCCATCTACAGCTGCTGGACATGTCGAAGCAGTGGTGGAAAGTGAGGGACAGCGCAGGGCAGGAGGGCTATGTTCCCAATAATGTCCTGGAGGTTTATGATGAACAACAGATGGAGGTGAGCACCACAAACACACCGCAGGTCTTCTGTGACTTAGTATGAGACGCCTCAATCAGAAATATTGGTATTCATGCACAACTTTGAACATTTGTATTCCATAACCTGCTTCCATATTTCTCAGAGTGTCCTTGAATTACTCTCTCTATATACTCATCTTTATATTTCAGTAAAAACAGAGCAATATCATTCCTTTTTTCAGCAGGCGCCTGGGGGTGCTCCTGTCCTCACAAAGAAATCCAAGCCTGCAGAAGTGAAAGCTTGGCTGGAAGACAAAGGCTTTAGTAAAATGTAAGTACACAGTTATTAAACTCCTTTCATAGGCATTAAAGCACGTTTCATTCAACTTGATATAACCTACTCCAACCTACAGTATAAGGCGTTTTCTCTTCTGTTAATTGAAGATGTTGGGACTCATTTTGTATCATCAGGGTTATTTGTTTTCTCTTGGAATGGGATTGAACAGAAAGCCTGTAATACTGGATGTGGTTTACAAAGAAGTGAGCATATAAGAAGCAGAAGTGTCTAATGAAAAATACTTTTAAGATGCATTATGGGTAAAAGGACCAGTGTTTTTAGAGCTCAACTTTTAATATGGATAAAAAGTCAAGACATAATGGCCTGTGCTTCCTTCAGTTTAACCATTTTCACCATCAAATAAATAGTGAGTAACCAAACTTCACCCACTGCCATTTAATATTAGAGCAGGCATTTGACCTTTTTCCACCAAATGAACTTCAGAGATTCAGAAGTGATTGACAGACTAATATACGTTTTATTGCAGCACTGTGCGCTGTCTGGGCGGGCTGAGCGGCCCCATGCTGCTGGGCATGAGCCGAGAGGAACTGAAGACCGTTTGTCCCGAGGAAGGAGGACGAGTCTTCTTCCAGTTACAAGCAGTCAAATCCGCCATGAGTGTAAGTTACCATCTTTATCTGTGTCCACTGAGTAATGCTGGTGTGAATACAAAAGCACGTCTAACAGTTTTTTGTTTGAATACCCAAGGTTGCCACGTAAGAGACCAACAAGAGAAAACCAAAGAAGAAGGAGAACAAAAACTCCCCATGGTCCATGTCACTAAATACTGTATACTTTTAAATAAGTGAGAGATTGTTAAGCATATTATTATCTGAATCCTTGTATAGAATTATATGCATCTCATTTTGAATTCACATATAGTATTTGTTTGGTTGAGAAATCTGCTGAAAATCCAAAGTGTAATCTAATCAGTGGAGATGATTTTAGAGACAATGTTCCCAGCAATACTATGTACAATGTCTTACAAAGTCCGAGGATGTAACACGATGTAAACAGCCTTATGTACTGTATGTGTTCATTCAGTAACGTGTAAATAAAAGTTTTCTGGCACAACACAACGTTTTAGTGAATAAACATGCTTTATTTCGTTCAGACATTACACATGAACCTTATCAAAGGCATCTGTTAAACACTGGCAATTCATTTCAGGCAATCATTTGGCTACAGATCCATGGCCATAAAATTAAAATGTCGAAAAAGTGACGAGATTTTGTGAAAACAAAGATTTCAATGAGAAAAATACAAGCTGCACAGAAATATATCTTGAGAGTGAGCATTACAAATGTAATAAATGAGTGATAAAGATAGCAAAACACACATAAATCAGTGTGAATTATAAATATATGAATAATGTAGCGCATATATTTGATTAACTAGTACTGGTTTTTGTGATGGCATCCAAATAATTGCTGTGTTACTACTTAGAGATAAAAGCGTCTTAAAATGGTCCCATCTGTTCTGTTTTATGTGCATCACTTCTCATGCGCCAATATTCACTGGACTTTAAAAGGTTAAAATGACCAATTTACTGGTTCAAACTGCTCAAATGTGAAGATGTGTTGCTTCTTCAAATTTTCTATGAAAGTAAAGCAAATATGTCTGGGACAATTTGAACACCTCAACGCCCAGGGTCAAGGAATCATAATGGGCTTTATTCACAACTTTCTGATGATAATAAACCAAACAAACAATTGCAATAAACCGGAAAAATATCAGTTGATTGTTCAATGTGTAAATAATCCAATAATGGTGTTGTGCTGTTGCGGAGGACACACAAACACAGAGAACGTTTGGAGACAAGTATTTGTGAGGTATAGGCTGCACAGTGTTGTGCAGACAGGTAGCTCTGTGCTGACTGTTAGAACAAAGTGAACCATCGGGGTCATAAGCACACAACACAACAGTTAGTGAATGGATGGAGAAAGTTCAGTACAGATTCTAGTCCCTGGAAGAACGCACCACTGCCGGTACGTCAAAGAATAAAACACTAATTAAAATTGTTGTAAGAGGTAAGTGTGTGAAGTTATTGGGCAAGTCAAGATCAATGGAGGAAATTAGTCGTTCCTAATCAAAAACACAGAAAATATATATTGATGTGACTTAAAAGAAGGGGTTTGTTTTATGTGTGTGTGTGTGTGTGTGTGTGTGTGTGTGTGTGTGTGTGTGTGTGTGTGGAGGTCAGCAACTGCTGTAACGACATCTGTTGGCTTTAAAGTAGGATGTATGTAATAGGGATGGGAATTTGAAAGCAAATGTATATTCGAATATTCGACACCCAAAGAAACGGTTAACCGATTAACCGAAATGTACATATGCTATAAAAAAAGAAAAAAAAATTAATTAATTTGGAAAAACAAATAAATACATGTTCAAATAAGTATAAAAACCGAGTTGAATTTGTCAAATGTATTGAATTGATGATCACAGTTTGAACAGTTGACAGCTATAGGCCTACAGCTTTCATGCTTAAAACATAACTTGTTTTTTAAATTAAAGAGGAGGAAATTAGAGGAAATTATACACGAACAACATAACGGGTTAGGGTAATGTAACCCTATTACAACAGAGATCAACAACCTGTAACAGGGCCTATGCACAGAATGCAGCTATTCAATACTCATTCTTCTTTAAGAAAATGAGCATGTCTACTCAGGGGATAGGCGGGTGCGGAGGAGATTCACAATCAAGCCAGCTGTAGAGAAGACCCTCTCAGCTGGAATTTGGGCATAAGATGAGGTTTGAGTCTGCGTGATCTGCGTGTAGGGAGGGGCAGCAGCCATACCATTAGCTAGAACTAGCTAGATCTGATGGATTTGGACATAAACGCGAGTGAAGTATAACCGGACGCGAGAGAGAGAGATCAGCACCTGCAGCTCTGCCCGCTGTGAGGGACCGGTGAGCGGAGCAAAACACACCTTTAGACCTAACACACTTAGCTATGGCACTGTCGAATACATTGAATTATTCCATCTTATCATATGTAATCAACTAAGGCACCCCTACCAAAAAAAGAAATGACCAATAAAAATATTCATAAGTCATATTCTCTGAATAATTTTGAATATTCGATGAATCATTCCCATCCCTAGTAGATATGGATTAAAGAGATAGGCTGATGGCTGATTTAGCACACTTCTATAACAAGGCAATTGAACAAAAGACATTGAAA